CCAACATATTATAGCACTACACACAACACATACTCTTCTATAGACCTGAGTATTGTCTCGAGTACTATAATTACGTATCTGGAGTGGTTCGTTCTCAAGAACCTCTTTGGGAGTGACCACTTCCCGATTATGTTGAAGTTAACAAAAGAAGATACATGCTTGCCTGACTTTCCTCGCTGGAACACCAAGTCAGCCAACTGGGAACTGTTTCGAGAAATTACATTTTTAGACGGAGATGAGATTGCTGATTTTAATATAGACGATGCTGTAGCATACCTAACAGCTTTTATTATTGACGCTGCTGTGAAATGTATCAAGCAAACTAACGCAATGACCAATAAACGTCGCATCCCATGGCGGAACGACGATTGTCGGAAAGCGCGCAATAGACAAAATAAAGCTTGGAGACTACTTCGAAATTACCCAACGGCTGAAAGCCTCAACAATTTCAAACAGGTCAAGTCCCAAGCCAGAAGAACGCGTCGCGTTGCAAAGAAAGAAAGTTGGAATAGGTACATCTCCGGTATAAATTCTTACACCGACGAAACGAAGATTTGGAATAGGGTAAACAAGTTAATGGGTCGGGAGTCACACCCCCTACCCTTGTTAAGTAGCCAAGGGGAGAGCCTGGAGGAGCACGTACTGTCTAGGCGAACACTTTGAATACGTCTCAAGTGCATCGCATTACACAGAAACGTTCTTAAGATTCAAAGAACGCGAAGAGCGGCAACCCCTTAAACGTAAACGTCCATCCAGGGAGGCTTACAACTGTCCATTTTCATTAGCTGAACTTAAGGCATCTCTTGCGTACTGCAACAACTCGGTGCCAGGTGGCGATCGTATAATGTACGAAATGATCAAATATTTTCCAATCAATCAATCAATCAATCAATCAATCAATCAATCATCTGAGTACTGCCTCTTGTCCATGTTTTTGCGCTATTCATTTAATATATATAGGTACACCTGACCCAGAAGCACTAAAAACACTCCTAACCCTCTTCAATACCATGTGGGAAGCTGGATATATTCCATTGTCATGGAAAGAAGCGATAGTCATCCCTGGTGCTGAAACAAGGCAAAGACCCGTCCTTGGCCACCAGCTACAGGTCAATAGCGTTAACAAGCTGTTTATGCAAACTATATGAGAAAATGTTAAGCCGGCGCTTAACCCACTTCCTAGAAAGTAACAGTATACTAGACCCCCTTCAGTGTGGTTTCAGAGAGGGGAGGTTGACAATAGACCACCTTGTTCGCATAGAGACATACATCAGAGATGCATTTATTCATAGGCAGTTTGTACTTTCGGTATTCTTGGACCTGGAGAAAGCGTACGATACCACATGGCAATTCGGGATTCTACACGATCTCGCCGCCATGGGCATTCATGGGAACATGCTAGACACAATTAAATGTTATCCGTCTAACCGAATCTTTCGCGTAAAAGTGGGAAATGCTCTCTCTAGATCATTTACCCAAGAGACTGGGGTTCGGCAAGGGGGCGTGCTTAGTTGCACACTCTTTCTTGTAAAAATGAACTCCCTGCAGTCAGTCATTCCAAGCGCGATGTTTTATTCTGTGTATGTTGATGACGTGCAGATGAGTTTCAAATCATGCAATATGTCTATCTGCGAATGACAAGTGCAGCTTGGAATGAATAAATTCTCTAAATGGGGGGTGAGAATGGTTTTAAAATAAACACCCAGAAAAGTACTTGCGTACTCTTCTCCAACAAACGAGGGGTAATGCCACTACGAAATATTGCGATCAAGGCAGACCAACTCTCTGTGAGTAGTGAGCTTAAATTCCTAGGAACCACTTTAGATTCTAAGCTCACGTTTATTCCCCATATTAAACATGTAAAAATGAAATGTCTGAAAGCGATGAACCTCCTAAAGCTCCTATCACGTACAACATGGGGTAGTAATCGGAAGTGTCTCTTGAAGTTGTACAAAAGCCTTGTTTGGTCACGCCTTGATTATGCCTCTATAATTTATCATTCCGCAACGCCAAGTGCTTTGAAAATCCTAGACCCCGTTCACCATCTGGGTATCCGACTGGCAACCGGTGCTTTCAGGACGAGCCCGATCCAGAGTTTCAATGTAGAGTCGAATCAGTGGTCACTTCACCTGCAGCGATCCTATAGCAGTTTCACTTATTTTATAAAGGTACGCGCAAACATAAAGCATCCTTCTTATTCAGCTATAAACGATATGACCGCTGCCACCCTCTACCATAATCACTTGCAGCGAGAAAGCCGTTCTCTTTGCGTGTGAGAAGCTTAAGTGAGGAAATGGGTGTTCCGCTGCTAGAAATTTATCCTATGCCCACAACAAAACATTTATTGCCGTGGCAGTGGCAGCTCATACATTGTGACACTTCCTTTGCCGAGATCACTAAAGATGCACCAGAAGCACATAATAAAATGCATTTCCAACAACTCCAGTCCAACTACTCATGCGTAGAGTTTTGTACTGACGCTTCTAAGTCGCATGCAGGGGTGGCTTATGCAGCCGTCAGACCATCCTTCTCGGAATCCGGTGTGCTGCACCCGGAAACAAGTATATTTACGGCTGAGGGTTATGCACTATTGTCGGCTGTGAAGCATATACGGAAATCAAACATACAAAAATCAATTATATTCACAGACTCGTTTAGCGTCGTAAATGCATTACGATCCGTTCTCAGATTCAGAAATCCGGTAATAATTGAGCTGTATTTCGTTCTGTGTACTGCGTATATGTCCAACCAGCATGTTACTATTTGCTGGGTACCTGGCCATAGAAGCATTGAGGGCAATGTGTTAGCTGACCAAATGGCCACATCAATTACCGTATTTACACGATTGTAAGACGACTCGAATGTAAGACGACCCCCCCAAAATCGCATCTCAAAAAAAAAAAGCTCACGTAGGCCGCAAGCTTCGCCTCTAGTTCCGGAAAGCGGCCAGACTTCGGCCCGCGAAAGCCACGGCGCTTGGAGTCGCACGAGAAAATTTCCTCGCGCTGAAGCCGCCACTTCCGCACCACACATTCACCGATTCCGAACTTTCGTCCTCATGTCACGGCACTCATGTCAGACAGAAGTGACTCGAGAGAGCCGGTCGTGGACACAAGCGACAGGAGCACGCGGCGACGCGCCCGCTTAGAAAATTGTATCACAAAGAGGAGCTCTTCCGTCAACTACCAATACCCCCCTATGGCGGCTCTTCCATCGATTACCGGTGCTCCCTCAAGAGCCGTGCGCTCGTCATAAAGGCACTCGTAATGCGCGCAGTAGATGCTAAAAAAAGAAAAGCTTTTGTATAAGCACGCGGAAAACTATGCGCTTTGGGTTGAGCGGGAAACTATTCGAGATGACAATACATGGGTTTCGATTCTAAGACGACCCCCCAACATTGGATTGTCAAATTTGAAAAAAAGGGTCGTCTTACAATCGTGTAAATACGGTACATTGCGCGCTATTAACCCCACCGCTACTGTCCCTGCAACAGATCTAAAACCCTTTCTACGTAAGAAAACTGAGAAACCACTGGCAACGCTTGTGGGACACAGAAATAAATAATAAGCTTCACTTGATTAAGCCGCGGTTGGGTTACTGGCCCTCCGCTACAAGAACACGGCGAACTGATGTCCTATTCTGTCGCCTCAGAATAGGACACACTTATGGTACCCATAGCTTTCTTCTGACTGGCGATGAACCTCCTACTTGTGGTAGATGCGGCGACAGGCTAAGTGTCCTCCACGTACTCCTGGAGTGTCCAGAAGCTGAAAGAGAGAGAAAGAAATATTTTGCTTTAGCATACCGTTATCATCTCCCTCTACATCCTACTATGTTTCTCGGCGAAGAGCCGCTTTTCGATGCAAAATCAGTCCTTGGCTTTCTAAAAGATGTAGTATTGAATGTTTTTAGCCCAACAAGTTCATAGCGCATCCTCTGTCTAGAGGATGCCGCTGTGATAGCAGCTTTCATTAAGCCCAGGCCTCCATGCTCTTGTTTAAGGGCACTGCAGAGGCACTGGTGCTCCACGCCAAGTTTTTATTTCATATATGTATCATTTTTAAAGCATTTTATGTCTCCTCAGCACACATCATTTTTAATTGCCATTAGTTTTACTCTTCTTATATATTTTATGCACCTACAGCGACTGTTTTTAGGCCCATTTACAGCCAGATCACATCTGTTTTACCCATACTGCATATCGCACAGTTCATTATCATCGTTCTGGCGCATCTTTGGCCACATCTGGCCCTTGCGCCAATAAACTCCACTAATCATCAATTGTTAAAAGCTATTAACTATACAAAAATTTATCGCTTGTTTAGTGGGAGTCGATTATGCATTGGTTACAAATGTTGGTTGCTTTTTTTTTACCAATACAACCTGGGTACTGGTATATCAACATTCTTCTATTTGTTTATGTCACTGCAATGAATTTGTCGTCAATTTGCTGGCTTTGTGGCAGGCGCATTGTCACACTGTTTGTATCAGTGAAAAAAATGAGCAGTCAGGCTGTTGGATTAAGATTTAACTTTTCACTGGTCACGCAAACAGAGAATGTGCCCAGCACAGTGATAGTTTGAGGCAAAATCGTCTGTTGAAATCTGTAGTACGTGTCAAAGGCATAATCTTTTCAGCGCATGCGTAATTACACCTTGTAACGCAATTACCAAGCCTCGCACGATATTTAGAATGTGCAAAGTACTGTGCACATGATTTGATTCAGAAATATAACATTTCAGGAGTTTCTAACACGAAAAACGTACGCCCTGTACCAGTGTGAGAACGTGGAAACATTTGTTAGCCGGTGATAAACAGGGATCAGAGAAACGTACAAGTTTAGTTATTTCTTGACCGATGTATTCCGCACTGCTGGCCATTGTTATAGGCTAGCAAGATGTCCTTCCTGTATTATACATAACGCTTCACCCCTTCCCTGGCTCCTACTTTGTAATGACTAACGCTTCAATTCTCTTTCATCCCTCCTCTGAACTGCTCAGAACTCAAACTTCAGCGATGTCAACATACTGGGACCAGCGTATGCAAGAGTTCCACATCAGGTGAGGCAAAATATGACTTCACAGCTCTCTTTGTTGTCTGGATTAGCCGTTCATGAAGTTTGTGTGAATAGATGTGTGGACTGTTCTGAAAAATAGCCGAACTTGGATCATATTTCGCATTATGCAACTCTTAAAAGATGCCAAATGTTTGCTGTTTGAACTTTGACCCGATGCGTCGTACGAAGGCATGAGTGTGTAAACGACTGCTGAATGAATGCTCTGTGCGAACAGCTATTATAATTCCAAGCTGGTTCTTTAGCCAATGATAATCTGTTATAATGAAACATTAGCACACAATTTCTGAGCAACAGTACCTCTACCCCTCCACCCCTATTTTTCACCCCTTCAGACGATACAAGTTGGTTCAGAATACCAAGCCACCATTCCTGTTGGGCTCTGTAAATATGATGATGCACCAGGTGAGAAACACAGTGCTGGCGTCTTTTGTTGTGTTTGGTTTTGGTTCAAGCTGGTCATTAGTGAACTAGATTGGGACCCACACCTGTTAGCTCAGGAACTTTATTGTGAAATGCTTGATTTTTTTACAGGCTCGCTCTCGGTAGTCCTTTGTATTCAATTTGCATTTGTATTTGTATGCCAATTTTTTATGACAGCTGATTTCAAAATCCTGCGGTCGTGTAGTGTAAGCAGTTGACTGCTTACTCAGAAGTAGACATTTTCAGTGAGTTCGCACAAATGGGTTGACTACTGATAATCAGCAGTCAACATTTCAAAAGTATTTACCCTGGTAGATTAAAAAAAACTGAAAGGGTTCAGGAAAGAGTGTTCTGTTGGTCTGCACAAACGAAACATTCTTGGTCGGTGGTCTTGGCCACAGTATTTATTATATTTATTCTGTTCTTTTAGCACCCTTGCGTGCAACAAGCAACAATGAAAGAAAAGAGCACACATGGACAAGTGCAGTCTAACTGCTGATCCATTTTTGAAAATATGTTAGCTTAAAACACAGTATAATCTCCACGATCTGGCATACCTGCCAAGTCTCCTGTATTGTCCAGGAGACTCCCAGGATTTTGACAGTTTCTTCTGTTTGTACGGTTGTCATGCAAATCTCCCGGAAATCGAAATTTTTGTGTGTGATCTGGTCGCATTGGCAAAAACGCCAGGTCAATTCGCTCCAGGCTTTTCGCGAACCGTGGTTAGATACGAATTCATAAAATTCCTTAGCCAAATTCTACTGTGTTCATTGGGCCAAAATTCTTAATGTTCTGAACACTCTTCCTAATCGCGGTGGGTGATATGATACAGGGTTCGTACAGGTCATTGAAATCCTTGAAATACCCTTGAATTTGAAAAATGCACTTTCAGGCTCTTGAAAGTCCTGAAATTTTTTGCCATCCTTGAAAATCCTTGAATTTCCTGAGCAGTGCACTGTCATATCGGCATCGCGACCTCCTAAATGTTGTATGTTTGTGTGTCAACCTGTGAAACTCCCCATTTCTGAAGCAGTAATGCGGCGTGGGTGCACATGATCCCATTTTGCAAAAGTGCATGGAAAAAAAAGTTTGTGGCGAGAGTGAAGCAGTGTCATAGCACGAAATTAGAATGTCACTTGAAGAAGGGCAAGCGACCCCATGCATGTAAAGCGCTGCTCAAGCACGAAGGACAAACGAAAAGAATGCGCATAGGACGAGTGCTGATGAACGACTGTGACAGCTCAACACTGGAAGCGTGCTGCTTAAACAAACTAAGGGTGCTAGAAAAGAACACACATGTATCCACAGGATGAGTGTAAGTTAACCACTGTCCCAGTTGTTACTTCTTGGTTGTTGAGCAATGTGCTGCGAGTGTCAAGTGTGCACAAGCCGACACTCTTGATGGGGTGGTGCCATCAAATTTCAAGGCTATAGCAAGCATCGTGTGGGTTTAAAGGGGACACTAAAGGCAACTATTAAGTCGACGGTTGTTGAAATGGCGGTCCAGAAACCTCATAGTGTTACTTCTGTGCCAAGGAAGGGCCTATTTTGAAATAAAATCATGTTTTAGTGGTCTGCATTGCGTTAGCGCACTTCGAATTACCCGCCTCAAGAAGCGGACCGACCAGACCGACTCATGTCACTGTTGCCGTGCACAACGTTGCCTGGCTTTACTGCGCTAGTAGTAGCACACCGAAAGCAGTGGGAGCCACAGCAGCAACAACTGCACCCCACTAGATGGCACCACCTGTCCCGTGTATCGACGCGAAAATTGAATATTCGAAAGCACTCGCGCCATTCCCCATAGTGACGTCCTGGCGGTTCTTTTTTCCATGAATCAAACAGAAACAAACAAGCAGCATTTTATTGCATCTCTCAATGCACGGAGGATTCTTTATTTAGTGCATTTAGATCGATTACTAGTGATTAATTGTAGGCAGTCCGTCTGATGTCATCGGTATCATTTTGAAAATGTCCTACTGTGGCGCTTGTGTTCTTGTGCATTTACCTTAATTTCTCGGTAAGTAGGGCACTGTTGTTGTTAATATTGTTGTGTAAGATGTTGTCATACGTTGAGCTTTCACTCTGACGTAAGTTCTTATTTGACTTCAGTGTCCCATTAATAATATATTTTAAGTCACTTTCTAAGTGCACCTAAATGCTCATTCTCCTAATTGAGGGCCATCGCGAGCACGTCCAAGACTGATGTAGCTCTATAGGAAGGGCAACAATAGTTCCAGTGACGTCACATGAGATCTGTAGTCAGGTGAGTGACCTCCTGATTTCCGCCCCGTACATACCGTATTTTCGCGCGTATAACCCGCCCCTGCATATAATCCGCATCCCCACTTTCAGCTCACCGAGAAAGAAAAAAAAATCCTCGCTTGTTGCCCGCACATCTGATATACAGGAAAGGCTGTACAAAAGCTACTGCTCAAGCAACATAGCACATATGTAGACAGATAAAGCTTTATTTAGCAAGCAGAATACGCTGTCTGCAAGGCCTGTCACAATTCAATCACTGTCGCTGCTCTCGCTAGAGCTATCACTTGAGCCGCAGTTCTCACTATTATGCACAAGGTCATCTTCGGTTCCATTCATGTTGTTTGTGATGCAGCGTTTCTTGAAATTTTTTCGCACCATCTCACCTGGAATAGCCTTCCATGCCTCGACAATCCACTTGCAGAATAGGGCAATATCAGGCCTTCAGACTCGTCCTGTCGGCATCAAATCGTAGCAGCCTTCGGCCATCCACTCGGCGTAATAGCGCTTGACATGCGCTTTGAAGGGCTTGTTAAGCGACACATCTAGAGGCTGCAACATTGACGTCATTCCTCCGGGTATAACAACTAAGTTGGTGCCGTTGCGTGAAAGGCGGTCCTTCACTTCCTCAGTTGTGTGGCCGCAGAACGAGTCAAGAACGAGCATGAACCTCTTTGCGAGCATCGCACCAGGCCTCTTCTCCCATACCGTCTTGATGCATTCTACGAACAAGTCACTGTTCATCCACGCATTCTCGTGTGCGCGCACCACCACACCGGCAGGCAAATGAACCTTTGGTAGAGTTTCCCTTTTCAAGATTACAGTACGGTCGCAGTTGCGTGCCGTCGGCGAGGGCACAAAGCAAGACTGTGATGCACAGTTTCGTGTTCCCGCCGGTCAGCATGCTCACCGAACTGCTGCCCATCTTCTCTATCGTTGTGTCCAACGGCATTTCAAAATAAACAGGAGTTTCATCCGCATTGCCGATTTGCGAGAAAGTGTAATTGTGCTGCTTTCGCAGGCCAATTACATATCTCTGGTACTTGAGCAGCTTCTCCTCATAAGAAGCCGGCAAGCGTTGACATATTGTAGTCCGCCGTCTGATTGAGAGCCCTTGCTGCTTCATAAAGCGGTGCAGCCATCCGCGGCTCGCACGGAACTCGTGAGGTAGGCCTAGCTCCCTCGAAAGTCGCCGCGCTTTCACTTGGGCCATCTCGGTCGATACGGCGTGACCCCTGCTTCTCACATCTTTGATGAACTTTACTAGCTCCGCCTCCAGCTCGGGGTAGGCACCGGTCTTGGGGCCACGAAATGACCTACGGTCGCGGTGTGCAGCTTGTAGGCTCTCTTTCTTCTTTCTCCACAGTCGCACGCAGGACTCGTCCACATCGTGCCGTCTTTCTGCTTCACGATTTCCAAATTCCTTGGCTACGGCGATGATCTTAAGCTTTTGCTGTGCCGTGAAGGCCTGCCGCCGTACGCTACTCATGGTGACAGAACAGATCGACTTAGGCTTGGCGAACGGGTCGAGATGTGGAGAACTGGCGGTATCAGCGAGGTAAAGAGCGCTCACACTCGGCGACAACTTGACAGCACTACCCATTCTAGTACACTCTAACAGCACCTTGGAAACAACAGAACCAAAATGCATGCCTGCTACCACGTCAAAAAATAGTACATTAATTTACTGATAATATCTCTATAGACACTATAACATCTCATTTGCCTTGCTGAAATAAATGCTGCTTTATTTATTATGGAACTTACTTTATTTATTATGGAACTTTCTTAGACAGCACCACCTTCTCGGCAAGCCCTTTCCAAAAGTAAACATGGCGTCCGTGACGTAGGGACATGTGGAGGGTCACTGAGCGTTCGCGAATGTCCAAAAAATATACTTGTGGTGTTACAGTGAGATTTTACAGTGAACAATCGAATTGTCTCTCCCCAAATGTTTTTCTAAACGCTTCAACGATGCAAGGAAGCGAAACCAAAATCGGCCGCAAGCTGCCGTGCTACTTGCGGAGCAACACGAATTTGCGGAAACCGCCTTCGTAGCCTTCGCTACACTGTTAAAGGGCTTCACAGCACAACACGCATTGCTGTGAAGCAGCACTGTAAAAAAAACCCCGCGTATTATCCGCACCTCCACTTTGCCACTGAAATTTTTGGGTTTTTTGTGCGGGTTATACGCGCGAAAATGCGGTACCGGCAAAGCATCGCGGCTGCTGCAGGTAGCGGCGAGCTTGTTTTGTAGGTGCTTGTGTGGCACACGCATGCGGGAGCTGACAATACTCAGCATGACGCATGCAAAGCGTTGTGATCACGTGACTAAGTCAGCTACACTGCTATGTACCTGCCCAACTTCGTCCCCACAAACTGGAACTGAAAATTGTCCGTATTAAAAAGGCGACAAATTATATAGCGAGTCTAAATGAATCTTGGTGCGTGTATCGTGCAATAAGCGTGATACACACACCAAGAGTCTATGATTAAAAATTGCAGCTATAATTAAAAATTGTAGCAAATAGCGCGCAAGCCACAAATATTGTGGCACGACCTCTTTAAAGCCCGACTACACATACGCGCTGAAGCCGATCAGCGCTTAACTTTCGGACATGGCATCGTGCCCTCTCCCTATGGAAAGTATGGGAGAGGGTGCGAGAAGTTATTAAGACTACACTCTTCTTTTATAATTTCCATATTCATACATTTAGTTGTAAGTGCAATAATATTGGTCATTTTTTAAAATTTTAGAGTGAAAAATTCTAACTTAGCATGCCGCTTTGAGTCCTTGAAAGACTTGCAACCAGTCCTTGAAAGTCCTTGAATATCCTTGAATTTTCACTTTGGATACCTGTACGAACCCGATTGATTGATTTGTGGGGTTTAACGTCCCAAAACCACCATATGATTATGAGAGACGCCGTAGTGGAGGGATTTGGAAATTTCGACCACCTGGGGTTCTTTAACGTGCACCCAAATCTGAGCACACGGGCCTACAATATTTCCGCCTCCATCGGAAATGCAGCCGCCGCAGCCGGGATTTGAACCCGCGACCTGCGGGTCAGCAGCCGAGTACCTTAGCCACTAGACCACCACGGCGGGGCACCTGTACGAACCCTGACTTTACTATTGAAACCGTCAAACGAAGGCCGAGATCAGTGCGCTCGAAGCTTCGGAAGTGCATGTGCGACCAGCGCACGCACTGTCTTCTACAGTGCATGTGGTTGTCGTTGCCACAACTGCAGTCGTTCTTGAAATGATCATGTGTGGCGACGACGTAACTGACAGAACTCGGAAAGTGTGCACGCTTACAACACTCAGTCTAAGCAATGCTGCTTTCCTGCAAACTCTGTGGACAAAACCATGGCAGATGCGGCATAGATGGCATAAAATGACGTAGTTTTGAAGGCACGTGCGCAGCCAGCACATTCGGGCTGAAAACGGACCTACCCTTTGCCACGACCGCCGCGCACATAACCGCGGTCGCGACGATGCGATAACGATCTACCGAGCTCCGAGGGTATATACACACACCGTACAATGGCAACACAGTGCAGTGATATTTTCGTGGGGTAATAGAACTGTGTATTTGATATGGAGGATAACTTGAGGTATCAAAGTACAGCTGTAAAATTTGTTCTTAACTCTGTTTACATGTTGTCTTCTGTTATGAGTTCTAGGCTCGTAAGCTGTTTTGCATGTCACTGTCACACCTGGTTAAAAGGCTTAAGAGTGCTTATGACAAGTGACATTCAGTCAGTCTCTATGACCGACGTGTTTTTTTACTTGCCGTGTCTTTTGCTGGAAAGATGTTTACGCTGCATTCGCTCACCGCTGATGTAATGCAACTGCAGCTTATGAAAATGAAGACCGATTGCTCTGGGATCCTGCCAAGCTCTCGGATAGCGATGGTATGATTTTACCTTGCTCTCTTGTATAAGTTTGCTAATGCCATAGAGTTTTCTAAAATTTTTGAGGGGGGAGGGAGTTCTGGTGCTGCTATCGTTGATCCACCATGGGAATGGTGGGTAGTACACGGAAATCGCCTGGCCTTCATGCTTGTGGGCTTCGAGCACACTTGTGGCTTTGTTTATTGCTGTGTTTTGGTTTTGTTTCGAAAGAAAGCATGGACCGTTGCAAACTTCATGATGCGGTTTGAATCGGTGAGCCTAACAAAAGGTGGTGAAGCGCAACTGCTAAACCTTTGCGGAACTTCGTCTTGCGGCGAAGCGGATTCAGGCCACATCGAGGCAAACGGAGCCGAAAGAACAAAGATTAGGCAAATCTGTCATGATGGCTAAAGTGCCATGCGTTGCAGCTCCCATAGACACTAGTGCCAGATTTTTCTCTAGCTTATTTATAGGAAACTCTATGGCTACTACGATGCAGGGTGCATACAGGTCTTTGAAGCCCTCAATAGTCTTGACGGTCACATTCCTCCTTGAAAACCATTGAGTTTCATGAGAGAGTAGTCAAGATTATCTGACCCACTTTTTATGCTGGAAGAGCATTGATGGGCGAACTCCCGATTTTATATACAGTGATTCAATCGAATTTGGGTGTATCACATGTAAAGAGCGTCACGAGATACTCGGATATCATATATTGATAATTCAATATATTAGATAATTAAGGCGCAAGCTATAAGCTGCACTGCATGGCAGCCTTTGTTGCTATGTGTATTCTTTATTGCAATGCAAGCTTGCTTTGCCGTGACAGATACTAAAGAAAATTGGTCACTACAGACTGCTTTGTATTTTGATACTGAAACCTTGCTCAGTTATCCATCGTGGCATGTAATTTTCTTCAGATTTAATCTCTCGCTTTGTCGCCTATACAGAAATTAGCACTTTGCAGGAATGTTTCTAGTGATGTAAGAAGTAATTGCGCTATGGTTTGGAGATGTTTCCTTGCAGAGGTGCCGCATGGATGTGTTCGATAAACGCTTTTTATGCATACATAGTGCATTGCAGAGGGTTTCCAAGTAGTATTGCTAATATTCTATACAGGCAGTAATTCAAAGTGCCAGTTTAGTTTGTTTGTGTAGGACTTTAAAGCCCTGTCTGACTGCATATGCAGCACTAGAAAACCTCCATTGGGAGAAATTAACAGCCTCTCTGTTTGCACTGCTTTTCTCAGGCTTCATCATATCGTTCATTTGACTTCCCCATTTGTCACTTTGCCCTCTGCTCCTACATTTGTGATCTCTGGGTACTTCGTGCTGAAACACACACAATGCACCTTTTTCGTTTCTCTCTTTGCTGTCAAGCAAGTGGTGCACGAAAGTTAACTTCATTCTACTCACGCCACTCTTTATTATTTGTGAAGTACTTCAAAAAGTAAAGCAGGAGTCCCATGAACATTGCCTGTTATGAGAAAGTCTCAGCAGCTTGGATATTTACGACGCATTTTTTTTTGTGTGTGTGTGTAGTGAAGTGACGCTATCTGTAGTGTCTAGAAAACGCTGCTGTGCAGTAGAGAAGTGCTGCATTGGATGCCTCTCGGCATCCTTGAAAAAAAGGCTTTGCTGGGGTCCTGACCGTCCTTGAATGCATTTGGAGTTTTCCTCTGAAACGTGTACGAACCCTGATTGATAATAAATTGATAATTTCGGAATAATAGTGATTGTTTGGGTTTAATGTCCCAAAACTACAATATGGTTATGAGGGAACACGGTAGTGGAGGGTTCTGGAAATTTTGACCACCCGGGGCTTTTAAGTACACCTGAATCTGAGCAGCTGGAACTCGAGCATTTTCGCCTTCATCGAAAACTCTGGCAGCAAGCTGTAGCTGGGATTCGATTCCAGCACCTGTAGGTCATTAGTTTAGCACCGTAGCCACTAAACAACCATGGCGGGTTCCTCGAACTTCTGCTGTAATGCATTAGCTAGCGTTAGCGGGTCTCTTGTTCTTCTCCTGTAATGCACGAGCTAGCAATCGCAGGCAGCATGATTTGAATGGCCGTGTCGTGCCAACTGGCTGAGCTGAGCTGGTTTGTGCCACTCTACGGACTTTTTCTCTTGGTGCATTCATGTGTTTTTGCGCATTTTGGAACTGCATTGGGAAGCAAAATAAAATGTGCACCCTTCCATGGAGGCTGCACTGGGCAACAGTGACGTTCGTACTGCACCAGAAGGGCGCTAAGTTATCGGATATACCTTTGCATTACACAGGTAACGCGAGTCTTACAGGAAACACTTGAATCTGTCTGGTTTGATTATCCTTCGATTTATAAACGTATGGTGGGGAAATTAACTACTGTAGCATTTTCAGAAAAATCATTTGTCAGTCTGAACTGATTCGGTGTTTCACTTCTGCGACTTGTTAATGGGCGAACAAGGATGTAGCAGTTGTGACCACCAGAGGGCTTAAATCAATTTCAATGTGCAGCATTGTACAGCAGCTAGACATTGCTGCCAAGCGTGTTTAACTCGTTTGTGTTTGTTCATTCGCTCGGCCGCAGTGGAGAAGTACCTCAGCTCGGCTCAGGAGCCGACGGCAAACGCCATGGATGGCATGAACTCGTTACCATTGGGAAGCCACACGAGAGATGATGAACAGGTAAGTACTGCGGCACTGCTTAGCAACTGCTAGGCTGTTTCTGGTACGGTCAAACGGCAGCTTAATGAAGCTTTGTTATACAGTACAAGCTCTTTAAATCAAACTCGGAACAGTACTATAAAATTGTTTGAATTCAGTGTAGTTCTAATTAGCGGGCAGGTGTTGGAATGAACTATCAATGCAACACACTGTGTGGGCAGAACCCAAACAAGCCACCTCTGCACTCGTTTTCAAGAATCGGGCGCTATTAACGTTTGTGGCTGGTGATTTCGTAAATTAAGTTCACAGGGCTTCAAAAATGACCAGGATTAATTTGAATGATGTGAGGTATCAAATGATACAAAGAGTAATTGGGGTGACGTTAGGTATAAGTTCATACAAAAAGGTCGCTTGTTCGTCACCTGTGGAGCGACGGAGCCGAATCAGCGGGGAGCGTCGCAATATCCAGAGCAAGCATGTGACAAGAAGCTCGTACCGTGTCACGACGTCGGGATGCAGTAGGAAACTTTTAAAAACATGTTGAACTTATTTTTTTAGGATGTACTCATTCTTACCAGAATATCAAGCTCTTGTGGGCCTCTCATTTCATTTGACACAAGAAAATGACAACCAAAGTTTTCTTGTCATTAAGGGGGGAGGGGGGGGGGCAAGGGTACTGACATTTCTTGATTATTTCTCGATTGACATGTAAATTGCTTAGTTTACATGTATTTGTGGGCTAATTTCAAATAGCAATTATTTTCTAGTGTAGTCTATAGTTTTCAAAATATCAAACATTTCATATGTTTTGGGGAGCCATAGTTTGCCTAAACGTAAAGACTTGCATAGTAAATAAGCACTTCGAAGCGACTTTGAATGAGTGCTGAATTCAAGAAAACAAGGCTGGATGTTGTAAACCGACATGAACTAAAGTTATGGTATGGTGAACAAACGCAAAAAGTCCACATCAAGCTAGGGTTTCAGTCACAACCTGTTAGACATACCACAGCTTTCGTTCCGATGTGCTTAGAATATCCATTCTTATTTCTTGCATTCTCTACTCATTTTAGGTCATTCTTATATGCTTATTCACTTTGTAACCCTCCGAATTTAGGCAGGTGTATAGTCAGTGCACGCAAAAATTTGGTGGTTCTTGAGCACCGTGTTGCAGTTCATTCTTTCCTTGCGTTTCTCACAATGTTTTCAGGCTCTGTACCTGCTGCTGCAATGCGGACACAACATAGAAGAGGCACTGCGGAGGCGGCGTATGAACCCTACCATACCAACAAGTGAGGCCGGCTTTTCTGCTCGTCACTTCGACGCTGTTTTACCGAAGCCTAGTCCAAATTAATTTTAAGCAGCACGCGCATGACCTTCACACACAGTGTCCTCAAAACTAAACTATTACTGATAGTATCTCGTGTTTTACGTCCCAAAACCACTATCTGATATGAGGCACGCACTAGTTGAGCCACATCTCTCCACTTAGGTTGATGTTCTAAAATATTGTTACGGGAGGGCACACAGAGAAATGAGGTGACAGTTGAGATATATTTGCAAGACGCCAAGCCTAAGCCAAGATGGCTAGCGAGAGTGCGCCCCACATCCCAGAATCACATCTTTCTCTCTGTCTTGCTTCTTCAGCGTGATGTAGTCTTGTAACATGACCCCTGGGTGCAGAAGCACCATCACGGTGCTTTCTATGGTGTTGAGGAGTGGTAGATTTAAGGCGGCAGACATGAACAATGTCTGTAGACAGTGGAGCTGAGGGAGATGACGGCTTCTGCGAGGCTATTTTGTAGGTAACGTCGGTCACCTGGTGCAAGACGCGGTAGGGTCATGAGTACCGGGAAAGCAGCTTCTCAGAGAGACCGACATGCCGAGTCGGGGTTCACAACAACACAAGGGAACTTGGGGCAAAGGAGACGTGGCGATGATGTGCGTCGTGACATTGCTTCTGTTGCTCTTGCGATGCTAAGAGGCGCTTCCGAGCGACTTCTCATGCTTTGCGAGCTCTGGTGATAGTGTCACGGGCGTATTCAGTCGGCAAATCGACAGCTGTCGGGAAGATATTGTCGAAAAGTAGAGTTAGGTCGCGGCCAAATAAGAGATAGAATGGTGAAAACCCAGCAGTATCGTGGCATGAGGATTTGTAAGCAAATGTAACAAAGGACAATGCAACGTCCCAGTCTAGGTGGTCAGAAGAAATGTACATGGAGAGCATATCAGTTAAAGTCCGGTTGAATCGTTCGGTAAGCCCATTAGTTTGTGCATTGTAGGCCGCCGTAAATTTATGTTTGGTTTTGCAAGAGCGAAGCAGGTCGTCAATAACTTGGGAGAGAAAATAGCGTCCAGTGATCTGTGAGGAGTTGGCATGGAGCACCATGATGGAGGATGACATCGTACAGAAGAAAATCGGCAACATCTGTGGCACAGCTGGTTGGCATGATCAACCCGGTACGCCATCAGTTGTCGCGTGATGGCGTACCGGGTTGTATGATCCGTAGCGACAGCTATCCATTTGTTTCCGGAGGTAAACTGAGGGAAAAGGCTTAGGAGGTCAAGACCAACTCGAAAGAAGGAGTCAGTAGGAAGATAAAGTGGCTAGAGGAGTCCGGCTGGACTCATAGGGAGTTTTTTTCGACGTTGGCACTGGTCGCTTGCGACAACGTAGCAGCGCACGGAGTGATAAAGCTTGGGCCAGTAAAATCGACGCTGAACGCGGTCGTAAGTTCGAGAGAAACCAAGGTGACCGGCGGTGGAGGCGTCATGGAGCTGGGCGATAACACTCGAATGTAGGTGGGAAGGCACCACAAGGAGCAGTTCGCACCCATTTGTGTTGACATTGTAGCAGCACTAGGTGCCTTCTTTAAGCACAAACAGTCGAGTAGACAAATGGGACGTCGGAGAGTTCAGCTTCTCAATAATGTCACGCAAGATGTGATCTCGGCGCTCTTCATCACGGATGTTTCTCAAAGCAGAGAGAGAGAGGACATATGTCAGCGCTTCATCTAAAGTCTCAGGGGGGTCCACTGGATGGCGGGACAAGCAGTCAACGTCATGGTGTGAACTGCCAGATTTGTAAGACACTGAGTAGTCATATTCTTGGAACCGTAGTGCCCAGCGACCAAGACGCCCGGTGGGATCCTTTAACGGCGAGAGCCAGCAGAGGGTGTGATGATCAGTTGTGACGGTGAAATGGCGACCATGTAAGTAGGGCCGAAATTTGCCAACCGCCCAAACTAGAGCAAGGCATTCCCGTTTGGTGATCGAGTAGCTCTGCTCGGCCGCAGAGAGCAGACGGCTGGCATATGGAATAACGTAGGCGCAGCCGCTTTGATGCTGGACCAAAACAGCACCGATTTTGTGGCCGCTGGCTACAGTGCGGACTTCTGTTGGGGCAGACGTGTCGAAATGGGCCAAAATAAATGGTGTTGTGAGCAACGCGATGAGATCAGAGAACGCCGAAGCCTGCACAGCGTCCCAAGAGAATGGAACATCTTTCTTCAGCAAGTTCGTTAGAGGTCGGGCCACATCCGCAAAATCGTTTACAAAACGTCGGAAGTAAGAACATTGACCTAAATAACTGCGGACTTCTTTTGTACTGGTCGGGACGGAGAAGATTTGCTCAGTTTGAACTTTATGAGGATCAGGGCGTACCCCAGAAAAGTCGACAAGACGGCCCAACATGGTTATTTGCTGGCGTCTGAAGTGGCACTTAGATGAGTTTATTTATTTATTTATTTATTTATTTGTGGAATACTGCAGGCCAAAAAGGCCCAAGCAGGAGGGGCACAAACACAACCACAAGATCAGTACATGAGTGACACAGCTTCACTAAAATACATCTGTGTAAGAGGAGGGCGAGTAGAAGAGAAACATCAAAACAAAGAAAGCACGCGATCAGTACATGAGTAACACAGCTTGACTAAAATACATCTGTGTAAGAGAAGAACGAGTAAAAGAGAAACATCAAAACAAAAAAATAAAGCGATATTGGGAGGGGGGGGGGGGGTCAAGATTCACAGAATTAAACATTGGGTTCATCAAGATCGAAGGTTTGGAGGAAATCAGAAGGCAAGTTATTCCATTCTGTTACAGTTCTCGGAAAAAAGGAAAACTTAAATAAATCTGTCCGCGCAAAATACGGAGTTAAAGATCGGACATGAGAATGACGAGTTTGCCTGGTCGAAACTGGGGTAACGTAATGTGATGGGTCTAGCCCAAGTTTATTGTTAATTAGTGAGTCCAAGAATTTTAGACGGAGAAGCTGGCGCCGCGATTGTAGCGTCTGGAATTTGTTATCTCGCATTAGTTCAGTAACTGATGTACCACGACCATACTTCGAGTAAATAAAACGCACTGCTCGTCTTTGAATCTTTTCGAGGGAATATATGTTAGACTTAGTATGCGGAACCCATACAATACAAGCGTATTCAAGCTTTGGAAGTGTTATAAGCTAATAGTTTCACTTGCGACGGGGCGTCTCTGAGTTTGTGCCTTAAAAGACACAGTTTACGGAAAGCCGATGACGAAACATCGGCAATGTGTGCATTCCAGGACAACTTATTCGTTATCGTTATACCTAGGTATTTGTATTGACTGACTTCTTTTAAGGGTTGGCTTTTGGAGGAATAGGAAAACTGAAGGGGATTTTTCTTGTTAGAAATTCGAAGGCAAACAGATTTATCGAAATTGAGCACCATGCCCCATTTGTTACACCACGAAAGAATATTGTTAAGGGCGGTGTCGAGAGCGACCTGGTCATGTGGCGAGTGTACATCTGTGAAAATAATGCAATCGTCTGCAAAAAGTCTTGTTTTAACCGGATCAGTAATAGCATTAACAATATCATTGCAATAAATTATAAACAGTAGCGGACCTAGAACACTATCCTGCGGTACGCCGGAATCTACTGGGAGATGAGGTGATGTCTGTCCACAGACGTCGACATACTGTTTCCGGCCGTTCAGGTAAGCAGACACCCAGGATACTAGGTAGTTTGGAAGCCCTATAGTCTGCAATTTCTCGATGAGCTTGTTATGGGGAACACGATCGAAGGCTTTACTGAAATCTAAAAACAGTACATCGACCTGACCAGCTTTGTCTAAAATAGAAGCAATATGATGAATAACTGAGACCAACTGGGTGACTGTGGAAAACCGTTTTCTAAATCCATGCTGAAAGGGAGATAAAATGTGGTTATCATCTAAGAAGCTGTTTATACGAGTGGCAATTATATGTTCTAGCATTTTGCAACATGCGGAAGTCATAGAAATTGGACGGTAGTTTGGTATGCACTCTGGGTCCCCCTTTTTCACAAAGGGCAGAACACGTGCCGATTTCCAATCGATGGGTAAAGTTGCTGAACTTATTGAGGCTCGGAAGATCACAACAATGTACTTGGCCAATATTTCGGCATATCGCCGGAGAAATGCATTGGGTATGTTGTCTGGTCCAGGGGTTGATTTAACTTTTAATCGCAGCAGTAAATTTAGGACACCATCGAATGAAATGAGGTTAGGATCTGAATCGGAAGCGTCAATGCTAATTGAGACAGGCAGGGTAGAAGTTGAAAAAACACTATGAAAATAGTCGTTGAAATTTTTCGCGATCGTTTGGGGATTGTCAATTATAGTGCCGTTAAACTTGATTCGGTTTACAGAGCTTTTACGGTCCCTAATAAAATACCAGAATTTTTTAGGGTCCTCTTTAATGAAGTTTTGTAACTTGACAGTAAAATAAAAATTCTTGGCACTTTTAATAGCTTCGGAGAGGGAGTTACGAATTTCCCTGAGAATGTTAGCGGGAGCACCTTTTTTCCGATAGCGCTTGGCTTTACGCTTCATTTGTATTATTGGCCTTGTGATCCATGGTGTGAACTTTGGGGGTTTTTTTGTTTTGTTTGGTACAAACCGTTCAATGCAGTGGAAGCATAGTTTCTTAAACTTATCCCAGAGAACAGCAGCGTCGTCGCCATCAAAATTCACCAATTCAAATTCAAGATAATCTTGGATGCTCGTATCGTTAGCACGGAAAAAATTTTTGACCTGTTTAGAGTTAGGTGGACTATTGGAGCGATTACAATGCAAGGGAAAAGAAACTGTGACCATGTCGTGATCAGATAAGCCGGGTTCAACACAAACACAGCAATCAAGAATAGTGCGATGCATGAACACAAGGTCTAGTAATGCGGACGAAGCATTACCAACACGTGTCGGTTGCTGAACAATTTGGGCGAGATTGTGGGAAAGCATTATATCAAACAGTATATTTGCATTAATCAAAT